CGGGTGTTGGCTGGTTGTTGATCAGGCGAGATAATGCATCGGCCTGACCAAAGTCGGTGGTGCGCCGATATTGAATATCGAAGTCATACCCCAGCACAATCAGAGCCCATCTTTGCAGGCGGTTGGTAGAGTGCGCTGGAACACCTTCCTTTGAACCAAAAATGGAGAGCAGTGGTTTGTGATCGGTGAGTAGAGTGAAACGGCGGCCATACAGTAGCTTGTGGAAACGCCGAACCGCAAACACCAGTGCCAACGCTTCTTTCTCTATTTGGCCGTATCGCTGTTCTGCTGGAGTTAGCGATTTCGACGCATGCATAATGGCTTTCTCTGATCCATCTGGGAAGACGTGTAGGATGGCAGCACCGACTCCACAGTTGGAGGCGTCAGCTGCCACAATAATCGGTAATTTCGGGTCGTAGTGGGTCAGCAGCATATCAGAGCTGAGCATGGTTTTCAGCTTGCAGAATGCGGATATTCTGCTAAGACAAGACTTTCTCGAGCTTCACAAATCCATGGTAATCTCATTCAACGGTGATAAACCTTTCTCCTTCTCTGCCAAAACGGAACCTCTTACTTTGTTTGGACATATTGATCCAAAGTGTAAGGCGAATGCAAGTCAGGGAGAACGTCATGAACGTCATTGCCGTCACTGGATGACTCGTTGACATGTGTGCAATCACTACAAAGAGCGAGATGCCGGACGGATACAGTGCCTTCTTTTCCTTCGGGAAAACTAACAGGAGCATAATGTGGATTGCGATTAATAAGTTCGACTTCCTCGTCTCAATCATACCTTGAGGCAAGGTCAATTTTTTTTCAGTAAAACAGGTCCTGGAGTAGTTTGCCAAGCTGGTATACACAAACAACAAAAAGACCGACGTTCAAACCGAAACATCCACTCATGTTGAATGGCATTCGTGGAGACACAGACGAGGGATTAAAGAATGGAGGGCATTTGAAAGAGCCGACTCTCAGTGACATATTTCAAGACCTTTCGTCTCCAGTCTAAGCCGGATTGCGTTCCAGAATGTCCTGTTGAGGGGCTCGACTTGCAGCACTGTGAATGCATTATCGATCCCTAGTCTTATACTCAGTAGAATAAAAAAGGAATATGCACTACTAAAACCAAGAAATATCCTCAAATTTACAGCGTGCCATGCCTGTCATCCTTGACAGAGAGGTCAACAGATCCCTTTCCCTCACACATTCCTCCTCAAAAACCAACGTGTGCTGACAACCCGGAGCATGCCCACGAGACCCTGATGCAGCTTACCTGAATGCAGATCAGCTTAATTAAAATTGACTGCTCGGTTGTCAGCTGATCCATAAGCTGCATCCCGTGGGTCCAATGGTGTATTACGTTGAGTGTGATAGCTTAGTACGATCCGCTAGTCCGAACTCCTGTGTGTAGTCAGCTTGGTTGGGTATCTCAGAATCCGCAACCGATGACCCCAAATCTGAAAGCTGCATAGGCCCCAATAATCTGCAGCAGTGCCATTGTCAAAAACGCTCTTTACGTAGAACTTTCGAAACTCCTGCAAATTGCAAAGTGCACGGATATTAGTACCCTGGCCGGCGGTTTAAATGATCAGTTGGGAGGCATCAAAAAGCATGATTTGATGCGGCAGATTTGGTGTAGATACTTCGGGAACCAACAACGACTAGCGCTCCCTACAACCGTGCGCTGATCATCATCAACTTTGCGCAAGCACAAATGAAAGCGACGCGCTAACTGGTACCCTCCAAACGGTAAACGATGAGGCACTCTGAGGGATCATACAGCAATAAGCCATATACTGCGCTAGTGTTCAGAACTGCTGTTCAGTTTCCAACGTATGTGGTCATGTCATATTGACGCTACTGACCCGTATTGAAGCTCAAGCGATCAAGCAGAAGGCTGTTTACCGCCATAAGATTCACTGGTCGCAAGATTGTCATCAGACATCAACACAGCATCCATCTCGACCACCTGCGACCAGACAACTGAAAAATGGTTTGAAATCTGAAGTGATATGAATTGTATATCCGACCGTTTACGTTCAAAAAGAGACTAAGCCTCAATTGAAGTTGGATCCGTGCCGATTCGTCTTCGGTCGAAGAGGCTGCTCTCACCGGGATGGCAGTTCGACTGAGCGAGAGGATCCCTGAAACGTCTGAACCGTAGTCTTACGACTGACGTGGAGTACTGATGGCTAATCAAAGCCCAGAAAATGATGCGGCGGTTGGAAATAGTTGAACGTCACCCCAACTTATCCGCTACACTACACTGATCCAAGGAAGTAGTCGGTCAGTGAAGTCATTACGGAGGGGAACGTTTCAAAAGCCGTCCAGGTCCCACCGCCTGCTTCATTGGGTAGAATACCTAAAAAGCATGTTTGGTTGGCCTGTGGTGCTCAGCGTAATGACCAACATATTCCAAGGCTCACAACGGGATATGGACTGACTAGTCAGGACAGAAGACAAAGTCAGGAACAAGATCAAACTTCTAAATAGAAACAGTGCACCCAAGCTGTCTAATCCCTGACTTGTTCAGTCTGGCAAAACTCAGGCACAGCATTTAGAAGATAAATGAATTGCCAAATGAATGGCAAAATGTTCCTGGGACGTTCCCTCACAGACATTGAGTATGCGGACGATATTGCTCTGCTTTGTTCAGATCCTCCCCAGATGCAGACGATTTTTAAAAAGCATACGCAATACACCTGCAAAGTGTTAAGTGCAGCTGCAAGACTGGGTGGGATCAAACCCACGCTTCATGCTTGCAGGTGAGTCGATCGACGTGGTATTATAAATCTGTTTACCTGGGCAGCTGTATACGTTCCGGTGGACTGGCTAGAGATGAGATTTCTCGGATCGGAAATGCCAGGGTAGCTTTTGCCAACCTCCGACACCTACGGCGTCGACGTGACGTGAGTTTGTTTGTCAAGGGAAAAGCTTGCGATCCATACTGCTTTATGGATCCGAGACTTGGCTCCTACGCGCAGGGGACATTCGGAAAATGTCAGTGTTTGATCATCGGTGTCTCCAAAGTATTGGTCAGGTTTGATGGAAACGTGGCATCAGTAACGCTGAAGTACGCCGAATGGTCTTAGGAAGAAAGAACTCTCTCGCGATAGATGAATTACTCACGCTTCATAGGCTGCGCTGGTTTGGCCATGTACTCCGCATGCCAGAAGATCGTCTGCCTAGCACCGCTTTTCGCTAAGCCCTGTGCTGAGTGGAAGCAACTGAGATGGACAATATATGACCTGGTAACGAAGTACGAAACCAATAACCAGTAAACTAAGTCGTGTGGGCAACTGCTGCCTCCCTGGATGGGGACTTCGGGAATCAAATCGCCAGTGGTTAATGACACTGGCTGAAATGACCTAACCGCACAGTTGGTGGCTCTCGTGCATCAAAGCCATCGCCTTCAACGCGTAGCTACCGAATTTCCGAACAAGCTGAGCATGCCTTCGCCTCCAAGGCTAGGTTTTGAATTCCACTTTCCCGTTTTCCGGTGGTCGAAACTGTAGTATCTGGAACCAATGCGCCTACGTCACACGGTTTATGGCTGATAAATTGAATTGAATTGAATTGAGAGGAATGGCGGATATCTGATTTCGATCCTGACTCTGAAAAAGATGCTACTTCTCAATTTGTGAATCACCGGATATACTCGCTTCTAGGTTGCTTACAGGTATCATTTCACCAGGCTTTACTACAAGCAGAGCAGTGAAACCCAAACTTGATTTCGGCCAGGTCGTTGACCATTGGCCGAATCTTCAATTTACGACAACTCAAACACGTCCACACATTTATGAAGCCAACGATTGCCTTCCTGGAAGCATCGTCTGACTCAGTCGATTGCGTTGTTTGTGGTGATGCCTCTCCCTCAGAGGTGTCCCGAGCCCTTTCGTCACATTACTAATCTTTATACTCAAAATTGATGGGTGCACTACATTCCACGGATCTTCTACCGAGTAGACCACCAAAAGAAGTGTCCAACAGAACTGCTTTTCGTGGACTTCCCTTTTTCAACTTCGTACTCGGATTACTTACCGAACGTTCCAATTTGTTCTACTGGAGTGGAGCTTCTCAGCGGAAACTAACCTGAAGGTATTACACTGCTTGCAGCAGATTTTATTTAAATTTGAATATACCAAATAACCTCAGTAATGTCATGAACTTTCGTGTGCGAAGTTACAAAACCGGAAGTGTGTGCTATCAAAGTTGGCCATGGCATCAGAACCGCTAGAGATAATACGCAGATTTACGTATCTGCGTAGCTACACCATGTCAGACAGTAACATCGCCGAGATGAGTATAGTGTCTGCTTTTCTTAGGCACCTGTTGAGTTAACATGACAGCCCATCGGCGAAGGACGAGGTGTACAACACGGCACCAGTTGCTTCACGGCTGTGAAGCCTGGTCACTGAGTCTCGAGTATCATCCCAGCAAATTGACGTGTTGGCAGGAGAAACGAGTACTCGGATCGACCGTAATTGTGGTAAAACGGTGGGTTAATAGTGCCCAGACTTATCTACCCCTGCAGCACAGCGCTGTCACAGCACAGTTACCAGTGTTCGTTACGTTACCGGGTATGTCCACCTTATCATCTCTAATCATAAAGTACCGTCGCAGATCAAAAGGGCTTAACTTTGTATACTTTTCGGAATACGGCTAAGATTCAATACCGTAACCATAATCAAATGTGTATCCTCAAAATGGCAAATATGATTGGAAATGTAGGTTTCGAAAGCCGATTCAGCAACAAAACAGGGCATTTTAACTTACCTATCAATCGGGCTGCTGGATGAGAGGTTCAACAACCAGCGGCCACCAGATTCGTTTTTCGGGTCTTCCCAACGAGGCTGAATCTCTGAACGGAACATGTAAACATCCGTTCCATTAGCGATGCCGGAGGGTGGATCTGTGTGCAGCATAACGCTCCAGAAATGTTCAATTGTGGAAAAAGTTGCTACTTTTTCTAAACTTTCATCCCAAAGTCCACTACTCTTGAAAAGAAATAAATAATATGTCCATCTAGAACAAATGCACTCGGAGTCTCGTGAAACTTACGAATCCTGAAGCGGATGCAATTCACAGGGGGCTTCTTCCGCCTTGCCTTCCTGACATTGCCCAGTGACCGCAGTAGCCATGGCGAGCGGGTTTTTAAAGTGACCTTGGCGAACCGCGTTGGAACATCGAAATGGGTACGGTAAAAGCAATCTCGCTAGGATCGATGGCCATTCAATGCACTCCTATCCTACTTTCAGACAGATGGAGTCTTCAACTTGTAACGTGTTCCGTCGCATATACAAATGCATCTAAACATAACTCGAACTCGTCTTGAAGGGCACAAGTATTCTGACGGACCCCTGGATTGACAAGCAGGATCGAGGAATCCGTCAAACCATTCCGGCCCGCTTTTGCTGATGTCGCTCAGCTTCTTTCGTCCACCAGAAAAGCACAATTGCAAAAAGGTCGGCACCGTTCTCAGTGTTGAATATTTAGCTGAACAGCGCAGGGACTCAAATCAATAAGCCTCTCAAAGTATCACTTATTCACGGATTGATACACAGGATCAAGGCTTTTGCCCAAGTTTCCCGGGTCGCTTTTTTCTTGTCGGTCAGTGGCTGTCGTTCACCTGAAAAAAGGATGTAGCACTGCTCTTTTTGTTCTCAGCGCGGGGCAGTATGCTTGCCAGCGCGAGGATTCGCATGAATAAATGTCTATGCTCTAAACTGGGTTCTAGAAGGATCGTGGACAGCCGTCGGAGGAAGGTCATTCCACGCAGCTACTACCCGAAGTGAGGANGCTACTACCCGAAATGAGAAAAAAATTTGTCTAATGAATGTGTGCCCTCTGAGCTTAAAAATCTTCTTTCTATGTCCCCACCGTGTGTTTGCTTGGTCAACGGTGAAATAAACCTGTTTGCCAAGCTTTGTTCAAACAGGGCATAATGAGAATTAGGTCCCCTCGGAGGCGACGTTACTCCAGGGGAAAGAGATCAAGCATTGCGAGACTTGTTCCGTAGTCCACGGATTTGAGGCTGGCCACCATTCTCGTGGCGGCTAACTGGACGTACTCAATGAGGTTGACGTCTTTCTTGCGTCCTGAGTAGACAACTTGGTTGGCGTATTCCAGGAGCGGTCTGGCGTAGGATCCATGGAGTATTTGGAAGTTCATGCGAATAATACGGGAGAAGGTGCGTCGGATCATCCGTCAAATGGATGGGTTAAAGAGATAAATGGTAGAAAAATTGGCATGACAGAACTCTGATATACTCTGAAAGTGGATAGACTCGCTGGTAATAATGTAAGAGTGAAGCCAGGGGAAAAATTTTCTTTGGGAAGGTTAAATATTGCCCCCAAGACCGAAAGAGAACTGCAAGGAGAATCTGCTGAGTTCTGTGCAGAAAAAAACGAAATAGTAGCAAAACACCGAATTGGATAAATGTGAGGGGAGTGTACAGCCGACTAGAAGTAACTCGTCCGAAATTCCATTGTGGCTATGTTAAAGGTTCATTTTTTGCAAAAGGCGGACCAAAATTAGGAGAGGAAACCCAGAGTATGAAAAGAATAGTTACGAGTGTGCCATCGGACTGCGTGGCAGTGCCGTGCCATTATTTCACTGGCGTACTTCGGTTGCCGGACAGCAACATAATGGGCGTCGCGGCTGGGTTGGTAGGGAGGAGGGTGTCCGCCCGCGGGGCCGTGGGGTTTCGGGTTAGCGAAAGTGATCCACATAGGTAGGACAGAGCCAGTGTATGACCACGGGTTTTTCGGTGCGGTTGTAGTTCCGTGTGGATGTAAAGTGGAGAACAGATGCAGCAAATAAGCTCCACAAATGACATTTTGTTCAGCTGCGGTCGAAGGTTGAACCCTGCGGCCAGTGTGATAACTGCAAGTAGTTAAACGAGCCAAGATAAAGCAGCAAAAACATTTGCCGACTAAGGTGAATGATTCTTATTTTTCACCGAGCTTTGAATGTCTTCGCATACTAAAGACAGCAGACACGTAAGCGATGATTGAAATAAAGCTTCCGCAATGACAAGGGCTGGTTTAATTGAAAGTTGCTAAGTGAGCAATAGAGTATCAATAACATTCAGATGAACCGTTAAGATCAGAATATGAATAACTAGTTACAGTCACCGTTATCACCGCCAAGCAACAGGTGGTATATGATGAAAAACGTATTTGCCCCACATGTACTGGGAAAATTGTATGACTTGGATTATGTGCATGCTTTCCACTCTTTGGAGCAACCTACTAGATGTTGCATCACGAGGACGGGACCAGCGGGCAAAAACAATACGAGTGAGGGCATAAAAAAAGCTTCCCGCCTGGAACGTGACAAAAAAGAAAGAGCTTCAAACTGCAGGAAATGTGACGCCAGAATAGTGGATCTGGAGAGGCAGCCGAACTGCCACGACAGGGTTGGCTAATTTGAACTAAAGCCCAAAACCCTCACTAGGGCTTCACGGCCTTGGGCTGTTGGGGCGTATGGTCACGGAAAACTTAAGTGAAGATGGTGAAGTAGGGTAGTATGCAATACCGATAAATGGTAGTGGGAAGCTTAGAATTACAGTGTGCAGTGAAACTTGAGCGACCTACTAGTGTTGCTGCTGGAGCAGGGTCGAATGTAAAAGTTATTTGGGAGAACGATTTCACGCAACAAATAACTAATCGGTCTCCAATTTTAGGGTAACATGAGGTGATTTGTCCTGCAGGGCGATAGGAAATTTATGTGATCTTGATGGGATTTAGCCACAGCCTGCAGAAGAGGGCGAATCTCTCGTAGAACAAACTGTGTCCGGCTTCGGTCATCTTCGGTTTGTCTCAGTTGGCTTACATGAACAATACAATATAGCAAGAACCCGTTTAAGCCGATGGGATAAGGCTACCGGTTTTTGATGTTTCGAGACATCCACTTACCACTCCGGGGAGAAGGTCTTTGCTCCATTCCTTTAGTAATGTGCTTTTTGCCCAAGTGACACCTTTAAGGGTCCTTTTACGGTGGCCAACCTGCGTGTGTTCATTTGGTGAAACCGACTAATTTTTTACCCTAAAAATGCCAGCTGGCCTACAGGACACCCCACAGATTCTTCAGGATTTTTAATCTTATTTTAAAAATATGCCAGATCGTTTGGACTGCTAATGTTAACTCTACCATGCGCTGCTTCGGACCGCAATAGCAAATTTTCCGGATGGTGGTCTTCAAACCCTAGATACTTCCAATTACGAGCGAAAGGCGTCTGCTCGTATACGCCGTACGATGGAATCTGCGAATGTAAATCAAGGCTCCTCAGCCTACGGGTTCAAAATGCACCAGAAAAGGGCGGCTGATGCGCAGGCGAATTTTAGTTACCAATTTAATGTCAAAATATCTCTCGCTGGCAGTAACCTGATTCGGTGTGACCGGAAGATGGCCTTGGTGATAACCCGGAAAATCGTTGACGTGGTGCGTCAAGTCGCTATAACCTACGGATAGATTCAGCGCTAACATAACTTAATACTAGACTAAACGTCCGGAAGTGCATTGAAGCAGACCCGGGAGACTCTAACGCACCCGCTGGAGGAAGACGGATAAACAGGCAACCGAAGGAAGTTGCAGAAAAATCAAGTTATTATTGACAATGATAATCTTTATTCCCAGCCAATGGACGGCATAAGTCACACATGATCATGATGACAGAGTCAGAATGAAGGCACGGCAGGCGTAAGTTGCAAGCGCCCAGAAATGTGTGGACAGACAAAAAATTTGGGCATCATGCGGCACAGATGAGGTCATGTTGTATTTAGCGCCATCCAAGTGTGGTGCAAATCAACGGCAGAAAAATGCAGTTACTAGAGCTTATTTAATTATGAAACATAAAAAAGTGTAGCAATATCATACGGCTATAGTTCATGTGTGGTAGACAAGAACACAGTCGTGGAATGTAAAAATTAGGGATCCTGGATGGCAAGTGAAAATATCTATAAATTGTGGAAAAAAGAAACCAGAGCGAAGATTCTAGATAAGTAGCGAATTTCAGTGGTCCTTCTGGCCAAATAAAACCGAAATTACGGAGCCAAGGTGGCTTTAGATTTTTCAGTTTGTGCCTGGGGTAGAGGGAAGCATAAGTAAGGACGATCTATTTGAGAATTCCACGATGAGGATAAGCTGTAGTTTTCATTTCAGAATCACGGTGTACAGTTAAGCAGGCAAAATATCGGCTCTGTGGAGGAGGAATCCTGTTTATAATTTCTTGGGAGAGTGACTTGGTACTAACGCACCAGACGAAGGGATGAAAGTAAAGAAAATCACTTCGTGTGAGGGACAAACTCAAAGTTTACCAAGATGGTCAAGTCCAACAAGGGTTTATTAGAATGGACTCGTCTCAGGTCCATTTGAGGTCAGGACAACTTTCGCTTTTCGACAAGTCGTTCAAGAGTGCACAGAGGACAGCTTAAGGTGTGCATGGAATAAGTGCCTGTGTGCCACCATACTGATCATGGCAGTGCCATGCCATAATTGCACTAAATTACTTCGGTTGCTACTCATCCCCGCAATAGACATCATAGGCGAGGTGATCGGGCGGAAAGTGTCTATCCACGTGTGTAGTTGGATTTTGGATTACCCGAGGTGATCCACACAGGTAAGATCGAGCCGATGTGTATTCACAGATACGACAGGTACGGTCGTGAATTCATGTGTATGTTACTCTTGGAGAAACCGTCAGTGGCGACAATGATCGGTGTCTGGATTAGTTGCTGCCACAGATCAATGAATGCACAAATATACACAACTTATTGTCAGGACTTGAGAGCTGATCGGGTGAGATGAAGGGGAGGCTGAAGTGAGCCTAACGTACTGGTATTTAAGTACACAGCTATTGCAGCAGGTTTGATGAATGATATGGAAAGAAAGCATTGTGATAAGTGTGGTTTTACGCTATAAAGCGATTCTGTCTGCAGTCATGCGTTTATGGTTAGCCCAGGGGTCGAGAATCTGCCATCAAAGCTGTTGTCACCAAACCTGCCTCGTATTGTGGTCGCGGCACCCAGTATAGCTACAGGATACGGAAAAATCAAGTTAGCAAGCCAAGGCGCCCGCTTCAACATTTTTAGAACCTACAGCTTGAATTGATGGGTGCCCAAAGATCGCAAGGGCTAAG